TTCCTTCCCTCTCTCCCTCCCTCCCTCCCTCCTTCCCTTCCTTCCCTCTCTCCTTCCCTTCCTTTCCTCTTTCCCTCCCTCCTTCCTTTCCTCTTTCCCTCCCTCCTTCCTTTCCTCTTTCCCTCCCTCCTTCCTTTCCTCTGTCCCTCCCTCCCTTCCTTCCCTGCCATTTCTTTTAATATTTCAAAATATGCCCGTGTGCTTAATACTCTTTTTGCTCTTCTTTTTCCTTCCTAATAAAATATAAATCATTTMTATTTCCTGTAAATTTAAAATCATAGCCTGTGACCTTTTATATAAAAATGAGGAAAAAAATCTAGAATCATTAATAAAATGCTGAAAAAAAGATATTTGAGGCCTGTCCATCTCAATAGGAGCTGGCACATAGGGTTATGGGTTCTGAGTTTGAGAAATCAGGACATATTTCACTTCCATTTCCATACATGAGAAAAATGGGGCTTGTGGGAGGGAGCAGGGGCACGAGTTCATTGGGGTCCATGCCCTCACCTCACTTTGCAGCCCAGCTACCTGGCAAGAGGAGACAGCGGGTTCGGCTCTTACAGCCACCCTTAACAAGGGCAGCGTTGCAAAATACACAGCGCTGCTCATTAAGAAAGATTAAGAGAGAGGAACCGAGTGGGAAGGCAGGAGCAGCCCCGGAGCGCGGCCCCAGGCGCTATTGCACAAATATGTTTTTCGGTGTGAGGTTACAGCTACGCTCCACGCACCGTTTGCTTGACAAATAAACCAACACAGAGCACAATCCACAGCTTCCACACATCCGTGCGGATCCTGCTCACCTGCTGCCTCCAAGAGCAGCCTTCAGCCCTCGCAATGTTCCTGAATATAAATCCAGTGTTGTCAGTGAAAATCCACGGCACTCTGAGTTGTGGCCTCTTCCTCTAGAGGCTCCGAGGATAATYGAGTGTAACCCAAACTACTCTGAGGTTTGGAGCTGGAGGTTGAGAGACCAAATGGAAAATAAACTTTTGCCCCATCTCTATCACGTTCTAAATCTTTTCTTCTCAGGTTTCGAAGGCTTGCATTACACCTGGGAATAGACTGGTATTTATTAATTTATCGCCTTTGGGGTTGTTCAGAGTCATATTTAAGAGCAGTCTTCGTGCTGTGCTGGCCCCTTCATGCCTTAAGCATCACCAGTCTGCCTAAGCCAGCGTTGGTAGTGCCTGCTCCGAACGCCTCAAGGAGAGCGCTGGAACCTTTGCAGCCCAGAGACCTGCCTCACACGAGAAGTTTCTCCTGGTTTGACTCATCAGTGGCTGGTTTACGTATTGGAACATGAAGCTGATAAACGTAATGCAAAGGAGGATAATGCAACCCACAAAACTCTAGGGCCACAGTAGTAATTAAGACTCCCTTAAGATAATTATACCTTATACAAAAATAAATGTGTAAAAAGCCATTGCAAAAGTAATTCTTATCAGTTTAAAAATTCTGCCCCTCAGTGCCTCTTGCCAAGCAGTAACTTGCTTTTCTAGTCTCTTTCCCTCAGCAGCTCACTTTCTCCAAGCACCTCCTTCTTCTCCTATGGCATCACTGCAACACCACAGTGAACAGAAACCTACCAGGACTCTCATGACTTTGACCCTGACTTGGCAGGAGTTTGTGAGTTATTTCTTGGCCCATTCCCGACCACCTCTCCCCACTTAGGTTAATACCAAACCACAAAGATCACTCTACTCTTAGTAAAAGCATTTTCATCAAAAACTGCACTGGACTATAAGCAAGCACTTAGCCAAGTGTTACAAGGCGAGAACGTGGAAGAATTTAAATTTATTTCTATATTAAATTGATTTTGAAAGTAAAAAGTCTGTTGAAGGCTGGAGACTAATTTCTAAAACATCCATTTTCTGGAAGGTACAATCCAGGCTCTTTGAGACTTCTGTACACATGTGTATAAATGCGTTCCTTGCTTCTTTAAAGGCAAAGCAATTAACACAGAAACATCACACTAAGAAACACTCAAAGATAATTCCTATTTGCTGTAACTCTGCAAACAAATGGTGCTGCGTGCTCCTGTGCCCTCTGCATACARCCAGCCACAGAACAAGAGCTGACTTCTCATCTCCGCTCTGGTGAGCTGGGCCAGCACGTGTACGAGCAAAGAAAATGCTGGGGACRTGTCCCAGGTTTCCTTTCCATTCGTGAAATGTGGTTTATTGTGCTGTTGAGTCAGCTCCTGAGCAGGGAGTTGCCCTGTGTTTGTGGGAACACCGAGAGCAGCGGGAACACTTCTGGGAGGCCATGGGGACTGCATGGTTTGCAGCCACACAACCACAACCCTGGTCAAGTATCAGCGGGCAGCAGCAGACAGTTTTCCCTGTCTTGGGACAGGTTTGGAAGGATAACACAGGCATTTCTCACATGCAGGGTACTCACTGCTTAGCAGGACCGTGTCTCTGCTCTCCTCTCTGCCAACAGCCAGTTCAAAGTCTCAACCAGGACATTTTCTCCTCATTCCACTTCTAGTCCAAAGGACGACTCAGTGACAAAGCTGCAGGAAGAAGCGAATCAGGGTCTTCTCCAAGGTTAACCTAGGATATACTTCTTACAACTTGAAACAGGGCCATGAACTCCCAGAAAGCTGAAACTGAGAAGGTGTTTTGTTATTTTTTGCTAAAGGCCTCCATAGCTAATGCTAAGGACCTTTCTTATTAGTTACTCATTGCCTCAACAAGTCTCATAAAACAGAGAGCAGAGAACCCAGCAAATCCCCTTCTTCGGTGTTCAGGGAACTCAGAAAGCCAGGAATTGAACGAGGCCTTGAACCCATTTTATGGACTCCCTCCTCACTACGCAACCATAAAACATTAAAATTCAGACCTTATAAACAAGGAGGGGAAGAGCTGTACATTCCTTGGCCAAAGACACTTCTCCAGAGATTCCTCCCACAGGAAGTCCAGTGCTCCACTCCTCAGGGACAGGTTCCCTGAAGAAACTCAGTCAGAGACTACAAATTCGCACAGCAGAGGTAAAATCCACTTGATTCTCTTCTGAGCTGGAAAAAGGTTTGAAACAAATGGGCCTGGTTTATTCCGTGGTGACTCTGTCCCACCATCCGTGAGGGCTCTCGCCAGGATCTGATGGCAAGTGATTGATGCCCCTGCGAGCACCGAGCAGTAACACTCTCTCTTCAGCAGATACCACCTGGGGTCCTCTGAGATGGCCCAGAAAGGCAGCCCCACGGTCCGCTACGCAGTGGCCGCCGTTGCTGTCTGCTTCCTGGCACACGCAGCTGCAGGTAAGCAAGGGAACAAATCCCTCGTGGCTCTCCAAGCGCCGTAATGTCGCCACGCGGTGCTGTCCCGGGGCCGGGCAATGCGCGGGGCTGGGACAGCAGCAGCCCCGTGTTCCTTATCATCATTCTGGGGCATCATTCCTAGAGAGCAGATTGTCTAAAACCTGGCCTCTAAGCATGATTTCGAGAGCAAAAGGCATAGAGAAGTGTCAGCATTTCAAGTGCTACTGCTGCACAGCAACAAAGAGACCGTTTTCAAACACGCTCTGAGAAGTAAAGAGTCTGACAGGTCTGGGCACTTGGGAACACCAAGCTTAACGAAGGGAGCTTTTTTTTTCTTTTTTCTTTTTTCTTTTTTTTTTTTTTGTAATATTCACAGCATCCATTCATTTTATATTCTGAGCCATATTTTTAGTTGATTAATGTATGACACAGCTCCAGCACATCAGCTTTAGTCTGATATAATATCTATTTCCCATAGTATCTTTTCATTTTAAAATGTCCTGGGGTTTGTGAGTCCAAAAGCTGGACTCACAAGCTGGCCTGGGTGTGCCTGAGGATGAGATTAACCGGTTGCAATTAGATGCAACTGTAAAGCAGCGAATTAAAAAAAAAATGAGGGCAACATGTAGGTTGTGATGGTGATTATGAGGGTAGGAAATACTTCCATGACCTTCTTTTCCTGTGTGGGATACGCTGTCACTGCTGTAATATGTTTTTTAGATAATTTGTTTGCATAGGTCAGGCTTTGGCATTCATGCAGTCAGTTGCAGAAGCCTCACTTTGGTTTTAAGTAATTGGGAAGGGAACTCTGTGATGCAAAKAGAGACATTCAGTCAGAAAAACAAAAGAAAAAACAAAAGTCCAACCTGAAATACAGCTGTGAGACGGACTGAAGCTGAAACTACCCTTAGTTCCTCCCCCTAGGTTAAGCTGGGGAGCTCCCAGCCTGCAGAAGGCAGCAGGGATGCTTGTGGCAAGGGTACGGCACAGGATGCCTAAATGYCTCCATTCCCCTTCTTTTGCAGGTGTGGAACTGTCAGTGAATAATAACGCTTTGGACTTCACCCTGTCTGCAGCATCTGGTTCTGTGCTCTCCCTCTCCTGCCTCGTACAGAACAACAGCCAGGCTGAGGAGCTGCTCTGGTACCGAGGAGACGGGACCGTGGATCTCAAAGCTGGAAATAAGGAGAACGTCAGTAACATCTGCATATCCCCCGTCACTGCGGATGACAACGGAGTCGCCTTCACCTGCAAGCTGAAGCGGGACCGATCTGTGCAGGTCTCTGTGATCCTGGATGTCCAGTGTGAGTTATCAAGCGGGGACCTCTTCAAGAGCGGCTGGGGTGGAAAAAGACACGGGCTGAGCAACTTGGTGACTGGGCACGAGGTAAAGGGAAGGTGTTTTATTCTCTGGACATTGTGCTCACTAGGAAAAAAATGCATTTAGGAGGAGATAACCCATGTGGTTAGACACTCCCTTCCCATAGTGATGCATAAGGGCTGATCTAATACCTCTTTTATAGGGAGTAATGAGTGGGTCATTAAGTAAGAGGATTTTCTGGCAATGTCCCTGCCTCCACCTAGATTCTTTCTCAAGGAAGCAAGTCAGGGCACAGGAGTCAGGAGCGGGACCATCTCTGCCAAGGACTGTCCTACTCGTCCTAGGGGATCATGAAAGGCTGCAGAATTGGCATGTGTTGTACCATCTGAAGAAGGTGCACAGCTGACACATAAAGTGAACTCATTTGCTGCTAAAGGGTGATATAATGACATTTTTAACTTTGCTTACTGTTAACAGTTCTTCCTGCCTTTTCTGGAGGAGAGACTCTCTGGGTTGAAGAAGAAAAAGATGTTACCCTGGATTGTAATTCCAAATCCAACCCTCAAGGCCAAGCAATCTGGTATAAAAACAACAATACCTTAACCCTAGAGCAGAAGCGCTACCAGGTGTACCAGACTAGTGATGTCTATCAGCTGTCTATCAAAAAAGCACAGAAATCTGACAACGGGACCTACACTTGTCTGGTGAAATCTGATTTGGGAGAAAGGAGAAAGGATTTCCACCTGATAGTCGAAGGTAACCTGGATAAAGAGTGGGTATTACGAATAATTAGATTCGCTTTTATAATCGTAGCAATCCTCTTATATGAAGATATGAGTTACGGTCTAAAGAAGTGCAAGGGGAAAGCAGTGACTCAGCTCGCTGTGTTAACTTCTGACAGCACAGGCCACAACAGGAGATAGGGAGATATCTTCACACCTGCACCTGGCTGCTACTGCAGCAGCAGCAAACGCCTTTCTTGTTCTACCTGTTATCTAAAGGCATTTCGCAAACGTGACCTGAAGTGGACTCGTTCCACCTTCTCACTTCCCAGGCTGCCGGGGCACATTCAAGGGTGTTTTAAAGCACCCTAGGTCTTGCTTGGAGCTTATCACCCTGACCACAGCGTCCTGACAGGCTGAGAGCTGCTTCAGGCAGGAGAYTGTTCTCGAGAAATGGCTGTACTTGGGTGGACTGTAGGAAGAGCCTGCAGTCTAGGTCTCAAACTCCACCAGACGTTTGATTCCCACCCCACTGGCTGAGTCCTTCTCATTTCCAAGCTTTTCAGTGCAGAGGAGCAGCTGGAAACTGAGCAGYGTTAGCTCAGTCTGTGATATGGTTGGACATCCTCATTTCCAAACAAAACAGATTAGCCAGGGTCTGTCTTGGAGACTGACATTTCAGCTCTTTCCTAAGTTCTCTAGAATCCACCCTTGGCTCCCTTCTTTCACAGTGATCCACATACATAGTCCATGAGCAGAAGCAGAGCTCAGATCTGCACTCGCAGCTCTGGGAAGAGAATATGTTTTTCTCCACAAATCTGTGAAATTACTTGTTTTACAAAATTGCACCAACCTACTGGGTACTCAGCTTCCTCTCCCTCTTAACAGATAAAAAGCCTGTTTTTCCCACGGAGGCCATTATTGCTGCCGCCGTCGTGGTTGCACTCACTATCATTTTTGGAATTGTGGCTCGAAAAGAAAAAATTTTTAAGGTATGGAAAGCTCCAATTTTTTATGAAAAGTTTAGTGTTGTTTTACTGCTATGTCCTGTAGTTTTCTACCCTATAAGACATTGTAATGTTGCTTTACACAGCTATAGAACTGCTGCACATGACCTCTCGCTTAGAGAACTGTCAGTAGATAATCAAATAATAGACATTATAATAGGGCCAGCTGAGAAGGAAGGTATTAAATACATGCAAGATATTAGTAAAAATACTTCTACGACCAGGAAATGCAAAAGATAACAAGATTTCTTCTTTATTTGGCAGTGCTTCAAAGGATCAAGCGAAACAGCTCTGTAAGTACTCGACTGTTTACTCATGCAGCTGCCTAGAATGAGTTTCTGAATGATATCCCCTTTCTAAGCCTTGTCTGACCCCGGGAAACAAACAAATAAAAACCTTGACACACTAAAAAAAGCCACGCTGAGTTACCAAGCTCTTGTCCTGGCTGGCCAAGAGAGGCCTGCACCTCTTCTGCTAGGTAGAAGGGCAAGGGAATGAGCCCGTAAGCGGAGCTTGCAGCCCACACGCTGCTGAGCCTGCCGCCCTGGCTATCCCAGGGTCCAACAACCCTTGTGTGGAGGCAGCGGGAAACACCCCTCACTGCATGTTTCCACCCTGCTGCAGTTTTCCCTGAGCTGGATGAATAAATTCKACTGTTTTTCCCCACAGTGATTGTCCATTCTTCTTTTCATTCTGCCACAGGTGAAGAAGGTTCCTGTATGCAGGAGAAAGCAAACTGAGCAATGCCGCCCTGAGCTGCAGAACACAACCCTTTGCGTGAGATTGGCCTCTGAAACTTTGGGGCCTGGAGTCCACACGGTGTTTCCAAAATAAAAACSATTCTTCCTGTCTCTGGGTTCTATCAGACCGCTCAGTTGTGACAGGGTAGGACGCCTCAGTTGGTGGCCTGTCCTGTCTGCGTGAAGACCCCGCCGCTAAAGGCTGCGTGTGCGCACCCAGGTCAGCTGCTTCCACAGAGAAATCCCTAGCGTGTCGCCACAGAAAGCCATGTAAGCGCATGAATGACTGGAGAGGTCCTGCCAGCTGCTGCCTTCTTGGTTGTAGAGCACAGCGCAGCYCCCGCTGGCCTGGAGGGCACGGGACAACTTTGACACGGACTTGCTGCASCCGCTGGCTCGTCCCAGCGCCCCGGCCTTCTCATGGCCGTGGCCAAAGCTCGCTGGCACCCGGCACTGCTGCTCTGCTCGGCTAGGGGCACCGCAGGGCAAGGCCAGGAACCCATCAACGGGCAGTGAGGGCTTCACCGAGACCATTCAATGCAGAAATGGCAGCACGGCCTCCGAACCCTCCCCAAAACAGGCTACTCATGCGCGTGCCTCAAGGCCCTGCGATTTTTAAGGACTCACCCCTTCTTGAAACGGGGTGTTACTGTCAGCAAACACCGATGCTGTCAGTTAACTGCAGTCTCTGAGGCGCAACTGCTGACTGCTCTCGTGAGGAAGGAGCCGGGCTGTGCCTCAAGGGGAAGGACCGCGGCGTCCTCAGCGGCTGGAAGCACAGGGCGCCGGCCAGCCGGCGTCCCCGATCCCACCGGCCCGTGAGGGATCCCTTCGGGAATTCCCCTTCAGGCTGCAGCGGGAGGTTGTCCCTGCACGGATGGCTGATGGCACCGCGGGCTGGGTGCGCTGGGCCGGGTGCCGAGGCGCGGGGCGCCGGGCGGGCTGCGCGGCGAGGCCGGGGCCGCCGCCGCCTCGCGGAACCTTCCAGAAAGCGCCCGGCGCCCCCTCCCCGCGGGCGCCCCCAGGGCCGGGACGGCGCGCGCCAAGTTTGTCCCAACCCTCGCGCCGTCGCGCAACTCCCCCCCCGCCCACTCGCCGGCGGCGCAGCCCGGCCGCCTGCGCGGGCCCCGCTTCCTGCTTCCGGTGCCGGGGCTATAAGAGCCGCTTCCGCCGCGCCGCTCTCCGTTCCGGTGTCGGGAGCTCGCGCCGCTTGTGCCATGAACGCCCGCGGTGAGGGGGAGGGGCGGGCCCGTTACCGCGGCAACGGCGGGGAGGGGGACGGGACGGGACACAAGTGCCGGTGCCACCGGCCCTGCGTGGGGGGAAGAGATGGGCACCGGGCACCGGGAGTGGGCGAAATGGGAAGCGGAGTGAGGGGGCTGGGGACGCGGTTACCGGGGTAACCCGGGGGGGCGGGT